TTAATTAACATTTCAACAGTGTTGTGGTTTAATTAACATTTCAACAGTGTTGTGGTTTAATTAATATTTCAACAGTGTTGTGGTTTAATTAATATTTCAACAGTTTTGTGGTTTAATTAATATTTCAACAGTGTTGTGGTTTAATTAACATTTCAACAGTGTTGTGGTTTAATTAATATTTCAACAGTTTTGTGGTTTAATTTTCTGATACACTCTCATCCACGTAATAGTTCTTGTGATTGTTTATAATGTACACTACTGGTGACTCAACTTTAAGAGCGTATAACACTAAGATCCTGGGTTTGGTCCCCGCCGCCAACATGGTATAGATAGCTTTATGTCTAAGAGAACAAACCAAATAAACTGTAATTCTGGATTCATTAAACACGTTGGTCTGTTAAGTTCGCTTCTCTCTTGAATTTTGTCTTTTTACCTGATGATATATCTCTCTCATTATATACTTTATATTATATAATAACTACTGTTTTGTAATGTTATATTTGTCATCATCTTTGTAGAAGTCGTCGCCTGGACGTGAAAACGAAAAGATGGACAACAGACGTCAACTTCTAATCTAAAGAAACTATTTGATAAAACATTCTGTAAATTGTATTTTGTTTTTCGTGTGAAATAAATAGGTGAAGAGATATATATCAAATAAGACTCTGTTTAATTGTTAATCCGTAATGAACTACAAGTGTTTGTTTAATTGTTAATCCCTAGAGAACTGCAAGACTCTGTTTAACTGTTAATCCCTAAAGAACTACAAGTGTCTGTTTATTTGTTAATCAGTGAAGAACTACAAGTGTCTGTTTAATTGTTAATCCATAATGAACTACAAGTGCCTGTTTAATTGTTAATCCCTAGAGAACTACAAGACTCTGTTTAATTGTTAATCAATGAACAATTACAAGTGTCTGTTTATTTGTTAATCAATGAAGAACTACAAGTGTCTGTTTAATTGTTAATACCTAGAGGACTACAAGTGTCTGTTTATTTGTTAATCAATGATGAACTACAAGTACCTGTTTAATTCTTAATCCCTAAAGAACTACAAGACTCTGTTTAATTGTTAATCAATGAAGAACTACAAGTGTCTGTTTAATTGTTAATCCGTAATGAACTACAAGTGCCTGTTTTTTTCAAAACAAACATAAAAGAGGAACAATTTATTTCAACTGAGGATTTCATTGAAAAAAGAGAGAGAGTTACACCAACTGAACAATATTTATTATCCCTAAGTAATATTTCAAACGTAAATTTCTTTATAATTCCTTATAAAATATGACATTAAATATTAATTTCTACTTTTCAACTGTGCTACGATATAAACAAGAAGCATAAAAAAACGTTAGTTTGAAATGTACGTTAGCTACAGTTTACATAAAAGGACGCTCCCCCCCCCCCCCAAGTGGCACAGCGGAATGTCGATACCCGTGGTGGGCAGAGCAAATATAGCCCATTGTGTAGGTAGGTTTGTGCTTAATTCCAAACAAACAAACAAAATATAAAAGGATAGTAATGTAGCATGTGTAATTTGTTAAACTATTATCAGGGTCTAAAATTGTAGTTTTAATTATGTCTTATTAGAACGCGGTTACTCGTTTAAAAAGTCAATGTCAACACTCTTTACCAACTAAACATTTGACATTCGGAAAAATCTGTATGATTTAAAAAAAGGGTATTTTGACTAACTTAACATAACTAAAGTACAAATCTTAAGAACTGTTTAAATTCTTTAAGATGAACAAATACACAAGTTTTGAGTTATGTTCAAACTGGAACATAAAATACACCTATTTGTAATGAGAAAGACCAGACACGTTGTTCACTAATCGCTCTGGAAAAAGTGGTGTTTCTTGTGAACTGAGGAACATTGGATTTTAATAGTCTGGAAGACGATCTTGAAGAGCAAGAGATTCCAAAGAAGTGATAGTCTGTCAAGTCATAAAACAAGTACACACACTCTGTGTTTGTGCTTATTCTTTTAATAAAGATTGCACATTTCTTATTTTACTTCGTATCCAGTCCCTTTATCCCATTTTACATCAAGACTTAGTCACTCAAAAATTTAGTTTCCCTTCGTAATTGATATCTTGAGCGAATCTCCTGCTACGGGGCAGATTTACCCAGTTGTTCGAAGGCTAACTAAGTCTCACTTGAATATATTTTGGAATTGGCTAGGAATGTGAAACACATAAGTATTATATTTGTTTTCTTGTTTTTGTGGTATATAATATGCTTAGCTAAGCCTACTCTTGGTTTTCCATAACATCGAATGAGAGTAGCATGAGAACACCACATAATTCTAGATTTGACATATGTTATTTCTAGCAGATGTAATAAATAACAGTTATTAATAAGTTTATTTGAAGCAACAGTTTTGGCAGCACAGTAGAGTTATAAATCTTTAGCTTCCAGTCACGATGCAATATGGCTAACACCCACCAAGCTTAACCTTAATGACACTAAAAGTCAAAGAGAGAATCTCTGTAAGTGCCAAGATATTCAGAGTAAAACCCTAGTTCATTATTATTTACTATCCATATAATAAGATTCAGTGTGGGTGTGTGTATGTCTGTGTGTCTGTCACGTAACTCCTCCTAAACCGCTGGTCCCACCAACTCCTAAGTGGTACCAAACGGATCGTCTCGATACCGAGGTTTGCACAAAGGTAGAAATTTTCCCTCACCCCCTTGAGAAACTGGAGGATTTCCCCAAAATCCCTTCTCCTAAACTACTGGACTCACCAACTTCTAAATGGTGCCAAACGGATAGTCTCTGCCCCAAGGTTTGCACAGAGGCAAAACTTTTCACCAACTTCTTAGGAATCTCGAGTATTTCGCGAAAACACTTTTACGGGGATTCCCCGAAAGAGAACCCCAAAATTAACATTAGAGCACGTAAATAAGTAAGCCTACTAATTAGCGTTCGTAACTTGGTTAAAGAAAATACATTTACATTATAGCGGCAATGATCATTAAACTGGAAAAGTGCTAAATAGTAGTTCAAGCATTAAATTTGTATTATAGAGGCCCTGGAAATATGGGTTATAGGCCAACGGGGTTGCCAGTCACCAGATTAAGAGATTAGAGAAAAATCATAAGTAGTTAATTCCATTACATCGAACCTTCCAAACTTAGTAAATTTGTCTAATCAAATACAATAAAATTATCTTACATCTAGTGAAAAAAATTCTTCTAATTGTTATTTCTATGGCTCTCGGATATTATGGTAACTTATGAAGTCTTGAAAGAAAAGTCACACCCAGTCACTGCTTGACATTCTTGTTCGAGTTCTGAATATCAAAGATTCTTGACCTTGTACTTGTTAAATAGCATTCTGCTGTTATATCAACAAATCAGTGTTGTTATTAAAGATAAATAATGGCATTCCGTTAGTTTTGCTTTTAGTTGAAAAGCCATACTTAAATATTAATATTTAGGGCACAATTCCTTTTTAATTGGGTCCAAATCGGTATGGTATATTTTAAGATATAGCTTGTGGGAAAAATATTTAAATCTATAAGGCCCCAAGGTGCCTCAGCGGTAAGTCTATGGGTTTATAATGCTAGTAGTCGGATTTAGATACCCGCGGTGAGCAGAGTTGAGATAGCCTTTTGTGTACCTTTGTGCACAACATATGAAAATAAACTTTTCTTTTCTTTGTTTGTAATTAAGCACAAAGCTACACAATGGGCTATCTGTGCTCTGCCCAACACGAGTATCGAAACCCGGATTATAGCGTTGTAAGTCTGCAGACATACCGCTGTGCCACTGAGGGGCAGAAAATAAACGTAAACGATCTTTTAAGAAGCGAGTTTTAAAACAAATATTTTTAATATTTTACCGCGTCGAATTTTAATGTCCTTTGTTAATCGAGTCTGTACAAATGTTTCATTAGTTAGAGTTTTGATCCAGTATCTGAGAGCAGCACATCTTCTTACGTAACCCTGGTTTTAGTAAAGACTCTCTACTGTTACGCGACCTTGAATGACGCGCGAAGAGTAAGGCATCCTGCTCATCTCGTTTTCTCCCCACCCTCGGGCAAAATTATACAGGAACTTTATTAACCATTTCCTCCGGCTGTTCAGATTCTACGTCACAAAATGTTACTCAACGTTCAGGAAACAAGAAAAGGAGTGTCTGGGAAATCCAAAATAAATATTGAACTTGCATATTGAAATTAGATGAATGGGTTTAAAGCTAGAAGGATGGAAAATCCTAAGTTTAAACACAGAGTGATAAAGTCAACGAGGACTGGTTATAAAAGAAGGTGTCAGCTCATCTTTGGTAACATCGAAACCGTCAAAGTTCCTCATCAGGAGTTTCTTTCGTTTCAACGAAGATTGCTTTATTCCTCGAGGTAAGAAGATCTTTTATCTTATTATTGATAATACAGTTAATTTTTAACTAGTAATAAAGTTTTTGGAAGAAGACAATTACAGCGAAGTACTGAGTAAAGTAATACATCTTTTTGTAAAAATAAATCACTAGAACAAGTGTATAGAACCGCTGCAAATTGAAACTTTTAAACTCAAAAACAAAGGAAAATAATGAGTTAACAATTATACGTTAAACGTCGAAAAATAAAACGTATTTTGGGATATCGTAAGAGAGTAATAACATATTGTAAATGTTTTCGGTTTACTTTACTTTGTTAGTCTTAAGTTTTAATTCTATATATTTTACGTTTCAGACAGAATGAACAAGAAAATAACACTTGTTCTTGCTTTGGTCGTCCTTGTTCTGGCCACAACTATAGTAGAGTCATATCCTCGTCGAGGGTTTGGTGGGTTCGGAAATAGATTTGGAGGCGGAGCTGGAGGAGGTTTTGGTGGTGGTATTGGTTTTGGCCAAGGAGGAGGAGGAGGTGGCAGTGGCTACGGTGCTGGTTTTGGTGCCGGCTTCGGCGGTGGTAGCGGAGGTGGCCATGGTGCTGGGTTTGGTGCCGGGTTTGGTGCCGGGTTTGGCGGTGGTCAAGGAGGTGGACACGGTGGTGGATTTGGAGCAGGAATCGGTGGAGGATATGGAACAGGAATTGGTCGCTAGTTTAGACAAGTGGATTTGTTTAATATCATTTATGGTAAGTTAATTCATGTCCTCATCACAGAGTTGGCAGGGTAATTTTAACATTTCCAACATTAGAAATCTTATTGAAAGTGTTAACCTGTAAGGATAACGAGTTCTTTAGTGATATAAGTGTTGATATCAGGGTTTATATAAGCGTTGATATCAGTGTATCTAAATGTAATAATCTATTATAAACCCCAAATTTGAGTGCCAAACTTCTTTGTACTTTTTAACTCAGAAGGACACAAATAACTTTGTTGGTTGATTATTTTCTGTTTACGTGAGAAGACAGTAATGTGACATATTTACTTTTTAAACATGTTAAAACATGGCTTATATGATCGCCTCGTTGTTCCAAAAAAATAATTGTTAGCACACGTCAGTGTGTAAATGTGAGAGAAACTGCGTTTTACATTTAAGTGAAAATACCAGTAGAAAGTTTTTTATTTTGTTCCATTCATAACAATTTTCTTTATAATGACACCCGCTGGGGACTCAAGAGTTTATGACGCTAAGGTTCCGGATTTAATACCCGAGGTACACAGAGCACAGATAGCCTGTTGCATAGCTTCCATGTTAAGAAAACAAACAAAATCTTCTTTATGATAAAACTAAATTTCTGGAGTCATGAAACTCACTGGTTTATTTTAGTTACTCTGCTGTACTTTGTATTCTTATCTGACTATTTTCACTTTATATATCTACTTTTTTATCACATTACCCATTTGTTAATATTATATGTACCATCAATTTTGTAGAAGTCATCGCCTGGACGTGAAAGCGAAAGGATGGACAACAGACGTCAACTTCTGCTCTATAGAAACTATTTGATAAAACATTCTGTAAATTGTATTTTGTTTTTCGTGTGAAATAAATAGGTGAAGATATATATATATCAAATAAGACTCTGTTTAATTATTAATCCGTAATGAACTACAAGTGTTTGTTTAATTGTTAATCCTAAAGAACTACAAGTGTTTGCTTAATTGTTAATCCGTAAAGAACTACGAGTGTCTGTTCAATTGTTAATCCGTAAAGAACTACAAGTGTCTGTTCAATTGTTAATCTTTAAAGAACTACAAGACTCTGTTTAATTGTTAATCTCTAAAGAACTACAAGACTCTGTTTAATTGTTAATTCCTAAAGAACTACAAGTGTCTATTTAATTGTTAATCTCTAAAGAACTACAAGACTCTGTTTAAATGTTAATCCCCAAAAGAATTACAAGACTATGTTTTATTGTTAATCTCTAAAGAACTACAAAACTCTGTTTAACTGTTAATCCCTAAAGAACTACAAGACTCTGTTTAAACGTTAATCTCTAAAGAACTACAAGACTCTGTTTAACTGTTAATCCCAAAAGAATTACAAGACTATGTTTTATTGTTAATCTCTAAAGAACTACAAGACTCTGTTTAACTGTTAATCCCTAAAGACTACAAGACTCTGTTTAAATGTTAATCCCTAAAGAACTACAAGACTGTTTAACTGTTAATCCCAAAAGAATTACAAGACTATGTTTTATTGTTAATCTCTAAAGAACTACAAAACTCTGTTTAACTGTTAATCCCTAAAGAACTACAAGACTCTGTTTAAACGTTAATCTCTAAAGAACTACAAGACTCTGTTTTATTGTTAATCTCTAAAGAACTACAAAACTCTGTTTAACTGTTAATCCCTAAAGAACTACAAGACTCTGTTTAAATGTTAATCTCTAAAGAACTACAAGACTCTGTTTTATTGTTAATCTCTAAAGAACTACAAGACTGTTTAACTGTTAATCCCTAAAGAACTACAAGACTCTGTTTAAATGTTAATCTCTAAAGAACTACAAGACTCTGTTTT